TGATGATACTTATGATACCATAGATAATGATGCTAATGAGAATAATGATTCAAATATATGAAAAAATATAGAAGATTATGCTATATCAGCTATTCTGGCCTCCTTATCCTAATACAACTCCTAGCCCTCCCTGTACCAGGACTCTGTATGTCAGAGACAAAACCAACCTAACCAACATCAACCATAACTGATCTCTTCTCGCCTCCTTGCAGCCCCCCCCCGGTTCACCACTGGAATGCCTTCCACCCTCAGCAAATCCCAGATCTCTCTACAAGGCCTCACACTTCTGCCATTTACAGGTTACAGGGCAATGCCCCAGCTCTGGCCAGCGTCGTTTTGGCATTGGCAAATCAAGGGCACAGAACAGAGCAACTCAGTAGATATCAGTCCAGGTTCAACCATCTCTGAAGTCCTATATCCCGAATGTGGAAGAATGCTAGATGCTGCCAAAATTTCAGAACACCAAAAAGCTTAATATAACAATAATCAGATGATGATATTAATGATGTGATGATGATGATGATGGTAATGATGATGATGATGAATATGATGATTAGTAGATGAAAATATAGAAGACTATGTTATAACAACACTTCTAGCCTCCTAATCTTCGATGCCTCCCAGCCCTCCCTGCACCAGGACATTACATCTTAGAGACAATGCCCTCCTAACCAATGTCTACCATAGCTGACCTATTCTCGCCACCTAGACTATCCCTGGCCCCATAGGTTGTCAAGGCAACCCCCCCGGTTTGCCACTGGATTGCCTTCCTCCCTCGGCAAATCCCCAGATCTCTCTACAAGGCCTCACACTCCTGCCAATTGCAGGTTACAGGGCAACACCCCAGCTCCGGCCAGCATCGTTCTGGCATCGCCAAACTAAGGGCAAAGACAAAGCAACTCTGTAGATATCGGTCCAGATTCGACCATCTCTAAAATCCTATATCCCGATTAAGGAAGGAGGCCAGATACAGCCGAAAATTGATGATGATGATGAGATGATTCAGAAAAAATCCCCCCTCTCCCTTCCTTCCTCCATTCTCTCCATTCCCCTATCTATCCCTTTACCCTAATCTGCCCCCGCTGGGATTTGATGCCCAGCCCCAGAAAAGAGTATTCCTCACAATCTGCCCGTACCCCCTCCAGAGTTTCACCACCCGCCTAATGAAACCCCTGCGGGGCTGGGCTCTCCCCCTCCCCCTCACCAAAATGTCATTCGCTTGGACTGCACCCTGAAGATACTGATAATGAGGATGATGATGACGACCCACTCACCCGCTGATGCGAAAGGCGAGCGATGCCTTGAAGAGCAAACTCTAATGATGACAAACTAATAATGATGATAATAATCATCATAATGATGATAATAATGTTGATGATGTCAATAATGATGATGATGATGATGATGATGATGATGATGATGATGATGATGAAGACACACCAATGATGATGCTCATAATGATGATGATGATGTTGATGATGATGATGATCATGTCAGTAATGCTGATGCTGATGCTGATGCTGCTGCTGATGATGATGATGATGACGCATGATAGCCATACCCACTCCGCTGGGCCCAAAGGAAGCGCCAGCCTCCATACTGATGATAATGATGATGACGATGATGATGATGATGATAATGATGAAGATGATGATGATGATGGTGATGATGAAAACCGCCGAAGATGGTGATGATGAATGAAAATTACCGTCGTTATCCTTACCGATTCTGATAAAGTCATGACATTATCCAATATAAATCTTCCCGGAATGAAACTTGGTTGATCTAGGTGGGAACAACCTTTTGTAACTTTCCTGAGGCGGTTAGCTAGTGCTTTAGCCACAATCTTGTGAGTAAGGGTCATCAGTCCGGTTCCCATTCCACCGGCAAGTCAGAAATAATTACAATGGGTACTCACACACGCTCCTCTCCCTTACAGTGGGAAGGCCCGAAAGACGGCATTGATTACTTCCCAAGGAAAGATGTACCACCCTTCACCCCTGCCTAAGTTAGCTTGCTTGACGTACTCTTGGACTTGGAAGGCCTCTCGGATTTATGGACCTGTCTTGTAATTGTTGAAGGCCTGCCTATATGGTTTGACTCTAGCTTTTCCTCTCAGCTGTATGGCTGTCAGATCTGTGTGGATTGCTGGTAGAGCTAGTTCAGCATTCATCTGCACCCTTATCTATGACCCTAGTCTTACCTTTCTATGCACTGTAGTGCTCTTTAGCCTTAGACTGTGTTTTAGGCTTTTTTTTTTTTTTTTTTTTTTTTTTTTTTTTTTTTTTTTTTTAAAGAGAAAAGGTTAACCTACCCCCCATTTTTCACCTCAATTTATAAGAAAACCATAAGGTCATCCCAAGCAAACTTAAAAATCTTCACTAAACTATGACCAGCCATCATATTGGCAAATAAACGTATTCCTAGACTTAGTGCGCGAAAACAATAAGAAATTAGTTCAAGAAGTACTAAAAAAGGTGCTAGTGGCAAAGGTACGCCTTGAGGTAATAAAAAACTCACACACCAATCTATAGAGTGCACTTCTTACTAACATATTATAAAAAAAATACCAAAAAAAAAAAAAAAACCCACATAAAACAACAACTCAAAAGTGCATTTTCATGCAATTTTGCCAAAAA